CGCAGCAGCAGCATCAGCATCAGCGTTCGCGAATGTAAGCTCGCCGTGCCAGTCCCATCTGTTCTCACTGGATGCAAATTGCTAACCGATGCCAGGACAAAAAAAGTGGTGACCGGCTGCATTGGATGGTACGAAAGGGAAAAAAATAATGTTAAAACAAAAACAACCGGAGTGGGCGCTTGAGTTATCCACCCGTACACCGTAGGCAACATACTGTACTATATCAACAACGTCTACGCTGCCAAACTTCTATCAACTCGTATTCACCGGCATAGTGAAGGACCGTCAAATAATCCCCATGGGCCACGCGGCCCTCGTGCGGCAGTGTATCGTTAAAGAGGCTGCACGGGCACATTTTGTACACACTCCCACATTCAGCCGGCTGCTGGCTTTGGAAATGAAAGAAAGCAGAGGGTGCAGAACGTTGTTAAATGTTTAACAGTCAGACGGCACGGCTAGAATCACTCTTCTAGATTGTTGATTGCGGATGTTTTTTGGCCTGCAATGATAAAAATGTAGAGGGAGCGAGGGTAGAACGGGGCTGCGATGCTGTGTAACTCCAAGACCCACGAGTTAAAAGAACACCGTTTATTATATAGCAGGAACATTGATTTGTAAAACTGTGTTAATCCACTGCTGGATGAAGGCCTCCCCACATTGTGCTCATCATGAGGGATATTTGAATCATCATATGTATTTATACTGGAGGAATCCGATGATCTATAAAGCTCTTTGTCACATATATTCAGTCGGGGCACGGGGTCAGAATGTCACAACAATAACAACAAAGTGCTGCTCCATTCAGCTTGGTGAAAGACTCATAATCAAAATTTGAATATGTATGTATTCTGGAGGAATCATCCGATGGGCTATAAAGATTTTTTTCCACAGATGTCCAGAAAGGGTGGGGGAGGGCCCAGCTTCGAATGTTCGAGTGCCCATTTGAACTGTGCCACATGCGTCTGACGTGGCCTCATTTGCTGAGTGAGCGGAATCGGGATAGATGGGTAAGCGAAGCCGAGCAGTAGGACGGAGTGAGCTGACGGGCGCCCAGGTGTGACCCAGTGGCACCACGGGTCGAGTATGAGCTCTCCCTTCGCTTTTCATCCGTCGAGTCACATACGCACGTCGAACTTCTTTCGCGCCGTACCTGGCCAAGCGCGCTAACCGGAGGTGTGGAGGGAAGGACAACAAACTAAACACGAAAAAAAAACAGTTCTAATGGCGACAACAAAAAGCAGTCACGTGGCGATCACGAACTTCTCCTTTTACGCGTTACTCTCCCTGGTCACGTAAATCGCGTCCCGTAGACCTACGTTTGACTGCCTTGAACCCTCCTTCATGCCATCAATCCACCTCTCGCATGGATGGCCCCGACTTCTCGCTTCCACATGGCAGTACAAGGCCTTTGACGGTCAATTTTTTTTCTTTTAACATGCCGATTCCATATAAGTCTGCAAGCGATCAATAGGATCACTACAATCGCTTGTGAAAAGATCAAAGTGTCCCCGCTTCCAAACGTTTATCGGTGTTCATTTCCATTGCTGGTCCCGAAACAGTGGTGGAAAGGACACTTTCCAAGGCCACATATATTGGACTGACTTTTTGGAAGACAACGATTGTTCACCTACCAACAAGTGGTGGCTCATTGGGGTGTGTTTTCTTATTCTACCCACATGGATCGTAACCTCGTCCTCCTTGCAGTTGGGATTCCTCCTGCTCTAGCAACCGAGTGGTGTGCTGGCACGTGACACAAACAGTGAATTACACTATTGACTGGCATTGCATGAAACATATGCCGATGCATTCCTCGCTGTTGCGAGATTACACTCGAGCGAGCAGCAACTACGAGCCAAGGTGCAGTGTTCACACTTGTCTCTGTCCTCCCTGTCTCACACGCAGTGTTGGGATCTTTGAGTTGAACAGCTTGACCCTGACCATTCAGCTGGTATGAAAGTTTATTCTGCAAAATACTTTCCCCCACCCACCCCCCCTCCCCAATTTTAGTCACAGCTGAGGAGCAAAGCTGAAAACGAAATTCTACGAGAGGAAATTTAGTCTACGCGCGTCTTTATTAACCTTTGTGCATGCTTTAGGGAGTAAAATGTTAAATAAACAATTGGGATATTTTCAGTTAATCTAGCTGGCATTTAAACAAAATATGTATCCCACCATTTTCAACCGACATTAATCCAATCGAATATATATTTTATGTAGTACATTTATAAGTTGCTGAACTAAGAATCATGATTAAATTATTCACGATAAAAAGGGGGCAGTAAAATAAACCTGACATCTTTCTGAGACCAAAAGGTTCTGTTCCTCGCATTATTTGTCAATTAAATATAATCTGCGAAACACCGATTCAGAACGTCTGTTTATTTAGAACCCACTGAATTGCTTAAAATACAATCCTCCACGATGGCGACTAACATGTAAAATTTCGATTTAAAGCTTTCGTGACTGCAGGGATTCATCTTCTTGGTTCTTTCGGTTAAGTCACGTATAGAAGGGAAGTAATAAAATAATAAAAATAAAACATAATAAAATAATTCTCACGACGTTTCGGCCACAACGCAAATTCTTTTGTCAAGGCGCCCTTTCCCCCCCCTTCCAATCCAGCTTATATATGCTCCAAGCACGTGTGCTGTTTCATTCACACGCTGTCGCCTCGACAGACCTGGTCTTCACCTGAGGACGGCTGATTGCGTTGTGGCCGAAACGTCGTGAGAATTATTTTATTATGTTTTATTTTTATTATTTCATTACTTCCCTTCTACGTGACATTACCGAAAGAACCAAGAAGACTAACATGTTTTTGCATAATTTGTAGCCTTTGGCTCTGAAGAGGCCTCATTGTGCCTATGGGTGGCTCTTACTCATAACATATGGTTGCTGAGCAGCATTCACTGAAGATGTCAAACTCGGCTCATGAGACTCAGAAAGTCGAAACCTCTCCACGGGTTTGCCTCCTGGAACACTTTAGCCCAGGAGGCTCATGGGCTGATGGAGTCACATTATATATCACGTTAAGACAATTTTAAAAGAGGTTTTTAACAAAAAATGTTACATACATTCTCAATCTCTGAGAAAATGTGGGGGGGGGGGGGCGCGTGGGGGGTCCTTCTCCATGATGGGGCTGGCATGCGCGCGTGCAGAGGAATTTTAATGGTTTAAATTTTTAATGGTTTGAAATCCGAGAGGCGGGCGTCTTGAAGACAGAAGCTGTTTAACGACACGGAGATGCCGCCACTCAAACCACACTTCAACAATGCCCCTCGCTCTTTCAGTCAGGTTCCAAAACACTGCAAAGTGCCGGCCCCCACCACACCCCCACACCCGAACAGAATCTTTCGTTTCAGGGCCAAAGAGGGCGAGTGGCCCCTTGTCCCTCCCTTCCCAGTTTGTTTGTTGTTGTTGTTGCAGCGGCAGAGTTCGACACGGCCACGTGCTGCACTTCAGGGCAACTCCCCTCTCTCTCTCTATTTCTCTCTTGTTTTCTTGATAGAGAGAGGCACCCCCCCCCCCCCCGCGTGTTCTCCTCGTAAATACGCAGCTGCAATTCGTGGTATGTTTTTGGTCCCCATTGGTACCTCATTTGCCATTAAAAATATGATAATTGGCTTTTTACCCTTTTATCTGGCAACAAAACTGACACCTTTTTTACGAGGAGTCATGTGTAAATGCTCACCCCGAGCTCTCATACTCTGATGGTGCATTGTCTTTGAGTTGTGCGCCTTTTGGCGTCATCTGGTGCAACCCATGTGAGACTAGGCTCTAAGGAAAGCTGTCTCGGTTGTGGACCAATCAACTTCAAGGACAGCGCACATACATTATCATAGTTATGGGTTTTGTTTGCATTATGACTGCAGGTATTGTGGTCTATGCAAACGTGACTCCTCGTAAAAAAGGTGTCAGTTTTGTTGCCAGATAAAAGGGTAAAAAAACAATTATCATATTTTTACTGGCAAATGAGGTACCAATGGTGTAAATGCTTACCCCGAGCTCTCATACTCTGATGGTGCATTGTCTTTGAGTTGTGCGCCTTTTGGCGTCATCTGGTGCAACCCATGTGAGACTAGGCTCTAAGGAAAGCTGTCTCGGTTGTGGACCAATCAACTTCAAGGACAGTGCACATACATTATCATAGTTATGGGTTTTGTTTGAATTATGACTGCAGGTATTGTGGTCTATGCAAACGTGACTCCTCGTAAAAAAGGTGTCAGTTTTGTTGCCAGATAAAAGGGTAAAAAAACAATTATCATATTTTTACTGGCAAATGAGGTACCAATGGTGTAAATGCTTACCCCGAGCTCTCATACTCTGATGGTGCATTGTCTTTGAGTTGTGCGCCTTTTGGCGTCATCTGGTCCAACCCATGTGAGACTAGGCTCTAAGGAAAGCTGTCTCGGGTATGGACCAATCAACTTCAAGGACAGTGCATCTATTATCAGAGTTATGTTTTTTGTTTGCATTATGACTGCAGGTATTGTGGTCTATGCAAACATGACTCCTCGTAAAAAAGGTGTCAGTTTTGTTGCCAGATAAAAGGGTAAAAAAACAATTATCATGTTTTTTTGTGTTACGCTGCCACGGTAATGGCATTTAACGCGTGGTATCATCCTCTGCTCTGTAGCCGTACAAACAATGAATAAACAACCCAAAAGGCATGGAAAGGTATTCAGTGAGTGTTCGCCGGGCACTTAATCTCAACGCAAGTGAAGTACTCAACGCGCTTGCCCTGAACATATATCTAACCTTTTATTTTAAAGGACCATCCTTAAGGTATTTGACTTGTATATAATAGACACGTGCTATAAGCAGGCACAAGCTCGGATTTTGAAACTGCTGATATAGTATAGAAGTTGAATATTGGCACAGCTGTGTACAGCTGTGCTTATATTCAAAGTGTGCTTCTATCAGAAGTTGTTGTCCCCCCCCCCGCAACCGTGTAGTGTGAGCATGTGTTGTAAAACAAAGGAACGCAGCTGTGGGGAAAGATCAACATTTACTCAAATAAAAACAATGTTCGGACACTGTCATATACAAATCTCACAAATATCCATTTACTCACATTCATTAAACAAAACAGTTATTGAAAACTGTGGTTGATATACGCGATTAACGACTTTCTTGGAAAAATATATTGTACTGCAAAAGAGCTCGTAAAAAGTCATCAAACAGTGGCATTATTTAAGCAATACAAATAGTATACGCGTTTAGGTGCACAGTACACTCAACTTTTCCAAAAGTCTCGGGCACACAAGTACAGGGGCGGCCCGTTCATTTGGGTGAACTAGACGGTCGCCTAGGAAGCCAAGTTAAGTGAGGCGCCAACTTCGAGGGAAAAAAATACAAATATACTACTACAATGACGAAGATGTCATTATTTCAATTCCCGTGCGTGTACAGAAGGAATATGAATTACAATGCATTTGTCAACATTTATGAGAGTATATTGGTTGGACAGATTGACGGACGGGTGGACAAACCGAATAATTATGTTAAAAACAAATACACTAAAAAAAACATTGAATGGAAAATAGTGCTCAAATGTTTCCCAGTTTACTAAAAACCTCAGCCGAGATCTGCCCTTGGGGTTTGGGGGGTGGAGGTGCCCATTGCTCGGTTCGCCTGGGACGCCAGTTGCAGGCAGCAGCAGCAGCGAGTCGAGGTCCGCCCTCTGCACAAGCACATCCCCCCTTCCAGTGGAGACAAATATTTGAATATTTGTCACCGCGATCCAACGTTAACCTGCACTTATATCATTAGAAAGCCCAGTGATTGAATTTGACTATATTTTCTCAGGTGCTACAACACGAATGTGTCCCTTTTTTTTTACAGAATAATGACAGAATTGTAGACTCGTTTAGGGGACAATACAGCCAAATTTGGGATGTCTGCTTTCACATGCTAGTCATTTTTTCACGACATTTGTCCTGTTTAAAATATTTTCACCACTCTTCACACCTCTACGTGGGAGACATGTTTTACCAAACTGCAGCGTTTACCTCCAGTAAAGTTCAGTTGCAATTTAAAATGTTCTTTGAGATAAATATTTTGTAACAAAATGTTGCTGTTGAGCAGAACATCAACAACAACACCTGGTTTGCCACCAACTTGAAAACACCCAAAATGCTTTTCACAGCTGTGAAATGACTGCACACATCATTTTCCAGATGCTACCACTACCACTCCGCAAACTTTAGGCGATCTGTCGTTTATTTACAATTATCTGAGTAAGAGACACCCAACAAAGTTCCCTGAACTTGTGGCTCATTACTAATAATCTATAACAAATAATGCAGTGGAAGCTGGAACTTCCCACACTTACTTCGCTGGCAATCTTGAAACTCTTGATACAGTACTTAAACAAGCGTGAACCAGCAGCAACTGTCATTCCAACAACCCCCATGATGAAGGAAGGCGATGACCAACTGGCAGTGTGAACTGGAAATTACATCCCACAGCTGACTCGAAACATTCAACCCACAGAGGGCACGTTTAATCATCTGGCAGTGAGCAGGAAATCGCTGCAACTCAGTTTCTAAACCGAAATGTGCAAAGTCAGTAATGTCCTGGGAGAATGTAGTTCATTTAGAAAAATAAATATGGAATTGTACATAAAACTATGGCTCCTTTTAGTATCCAATAAAATAAAAGAATTGGCAGCTGCGAGCCTGCCTTATTATCTTGCTTTGCTTAACAATGTCGTTTGCCATCCATAAGAAATGTGTTACATTGGCAAAAATCACTCAATTTGAAATAGCGAAGCTCTATAAACAACACTGATGAAAGCGCACGCTTCAAAACTGTAGTTATGTCAGCAAAAGTGTGTTTGGCAGGCCGCTTCATTTAAGTGTGTTGAGGTAGATGAATCTGGACCATACTTAGGGTGGTTTACTAGGACCAATGAGTGGAGGATGACAACGATGTGGGGTCTGTGGGGTTAACCGAGAGGTGACCAGGGGTTTATGAGCTGAAGGGGCAGACGGGGTGGACAGCTTGACATCAGGTTCCTACCCAGGGTTGTTAAGTGTCCTCGCTAGAATTTGTGGGCGGCAATGGGTGATTCTTTCAAAGAATTGACAACACCATCCATCTTGTAACCCAAACTGTCTTACCCCCCTCTGACTTATGCCCCAGAAATTAGGAAGGCCGCCACTTGTGCTCTCACGCGAGAGGGTGACCTTATGGTTCAGAGTAAATGTGGCCTCATTGTAGAGCCAAGCAAGAAGAAGACGGGAAGCCATTGCTTTATAAACAAAACCTTATATTCACAAACGGGTAACTTCTACAGCACTGTTTTTTTATATTAAACACATTTCTTTCACGTTCGACAACACGCTTCAACAGACAATAGAACATAATTAATATAATTATATACGTTTGATATAAATGTTTTTGTACGATAGAGTATTATATATATATTTATATATAGAATGTACGTGGATTAAAGCTTCTTATTAGAATTGTTTCGTTTATATTTACGGAGTATAATTATACAATTGGGCAATACACTTTTTTGAGTAATGGAAGTAATTGCTTGTAATTTAAACTTGATTTGAAGCTTTCGTGACTGCAGGAATTACTCTTTGGTTCTTTCGGTAATTTCTTTGTAAATAGTTCTTTGTAAATAGTTGTATTGGGTGAACATGAAATGTCATATGTGAAATGTCATATAGACCAGGGATTGATTTCATCCGCAACCTGTCCATGGATGAGAAAATGTATTTCCCCTGGCAGGGCAGGGCAAGGGGTAGTGGCTTCTGGGAAATATTTCATGAGAAGTTAAAGCATGACATGAATGGTCGGCGGATTTATTCTACCCTCTTCTTGGTTCTTTCGGTAAAGTCACGTAGAAGGGAAGTAATAAAATAATAAAAATAAAACATAATAGTGAGAATTGGTGAGAATTGTTTTTTTATTTTTTTTTTTATTATTTTATTACTTCCCTTCTACGTGACTTTACCGAAAGAACCAAGAAGATGAATCCCTGCAGTCACGAAAGCTTTAAATCGAAAATTATTCTACCCTGTTGCTGAAACTTTTCGGCGTGGTATGTCAGGCTCGCATTTTTGTTGTTGTAATAAAAAAAACATAATTGAAAAAAAAACATGACATTAACAAATGTTGTAACAATGTTGTTGCCCTATATATTTCTTTTAATTTAATATTTTACAACAACAATAAAATAATAACCCCTCGTTGCGAACTGGAATAACACGGGAGACGTGGCCACGACGGTTATCAAGATGCCGTTGCTCATGGCGCTGCGATGCTCTTTGCTCCGTTTGCTCTGTAGCTCCGTGGAGTGGGTGGATCCTCGTTGTGACTTCCCTCCTCGAATTCTTCTGACCACGCCCGTGGCAGCTGAAGTCTGTGCTGGCTGACGATGCGCTGCGTCGAACGTTGCTGCCCAATGCGTCATCTTCCGTCGCTTTTCCGTTCAGTGTCTCGAATCACTTTTTTCAGAAGTTTTAGCTTTCCTCCCTCCCTCTGACAATCATTTTTTCAGATTCATTGCCCTGAAAAAACCCCAACGTATCACCAAGTCCCACACACAGTAAATAAGCGGATCCCCTAACAATCAGGTGGGAGTTTGGTGGGTGTGTGGGTGGGTGGTGGGAGGGGAGTGGTAATATGTAATCACTTTTTATCATCACGTTGATCACGCTGCAATTGCTTTTTTCTCTCTCTCTCAAAGCGGCCCACGACAACATCCGAGCATCCCAGAAGGCAGCTCAAACTGCGATCGCTCTCCCGGGATCCCAGGATGTGCACGCATGGCCACGTGCACTAAGAGCTTGGGGGAGGCTCCCGAGTCCGGCAGAAAAGCCTGCAGGGCCTGTCGCTGCGCATGGAGCAGGCACACCTGTCAGCGACCGCTCGGCGCTGCAGCAATGCCCCATCGTCGTCGACGCTGCCGAGGGTCGATCTCCTGTCGCGATGAGAGCCTCCGACACCGTAGGGCACAGTCCTCCTGCGACGGGGGTGGGGGGGGGGGATGAGTGGTGGCCGAACGCCTAAGACAGGCACTTTGGTGGAATCGGAGCTGTGGCTGATATATACAGCGTGCTGCCAAAAATGTTAACACTTATAACGGACTATCGGACTATCGTTTTCAATGGAAAAAATAACGGACAATAATACACCGTAAAATGATAACAAATGTAACGTTAAGAGCTTCAAAAAGTCAAAGAGTCTCCGCTTGTTCGCCATCATTGTCAACACATTGCCTGGAATCTTCTCCAGGTGGTTTCCATAGCCCGGAGGCATCACATTTCTTGTGATATTGTTGCAAATTCTCTGAAATGTTAATATTTTTTTTAAAGCACGGGCAGCCTTGACATTTTTTGCTCATGCAACTGCTGGTGAAAGGGGCCTCCTGTTTACACAACTACTAATACGGCTATGTGTAACACCATTTCTCAAGCTACTGCTGAATGAAGGCCTCCCCCACGCTGCTCAGTGAGCGGATGATTCCGCTGTCTCTCGCTGCCGTTAGCCACTGTGCGGGAATCGAATTCGGGTCGCCGGGTTTATAGCGCAAATGAACTAATCACTGCGCCGCCACTCCACCCCGATGAAATAGGCAAAGGTGCAGCTCTGCAATCACTTTATCTACACTCTGGCCAGATGACTTGGTAGAGGTTGGATTACCCACACTTTTCCCCACCACACAGGACCTGCTGATCGATTAGCTGTGGCGTGCTCATTCATACTCCCGTGGAAAGAAACGTGCACCCGTTGTTTCAACTGCCTTTGCTTAGAGATTGAACCGGTGACCTCTATGATTGCAAGTCCGGTGTGCTAACCATTATACCATAGCAGCATCCCTCAGCTAAACAGCAGCATTCAACTGCAGAAGCGACAGTATATTCACTGGTACATGAAATACTTATGTCATTGACAGTGAACAGCGTCAAAAAACAATTGATGGACAAGCTTTTCGATTTAAAGATTTCGTGACTGCAGGGATTCATCTTCTTGGTTCTTTCGGAAAAGTCACGTAGAAGGGAAGTAATAAAATAATAAAAATAAAACATATTTTATTATGTTAAAAATAAAATATATTTTATTATGTTTTATTTTTATTATTTTATTACTTCCCCTCTACGTGACTTTACCGAAAGAACCAAGAAGATGGACAAGCTCTTCGTGCATTTTAGAAGTTGTATTTCCGGATTGCATGTCGCGACAATGCGCAGGAGCTTTTTGTAGCGTCACGATTTAAGTTGCCTGTCAATGCCGGGTGGTGAGGGTACTTTACGACACATCACCGTGGGCAAACCCAGAAATTAATTATCAATCAACGATTATAGCGACGACGTTATCGGTAACGAACGATCACCCTGACGATGATGAAAATAACAACGACGTTATCAATAACAAACGATCACTGACGATGATGTTAATAACGACGACGTTATCGATAACAAACGATCACCATGACGATGATGTTAACAGCGACGACGTTATCGATAACAAACGATCACCATGACGATGATGTTAAGAGCGACGACGTTATCGATAACAAACGATCACCATGACGATGATGTTAACAGCGACGACGTTATCGATAACAAACGATCACCATGACGATGATAAGAGCGACGACGTTATCGATAACAAACGATCACCATGACGATGATGTTAACAGCGACGACGTTATCGATAACAAACGATCACCATGACGATGATGTTAACAGCGACGACGTTATCGGTACCAAACGATCACCCTGACGATGATGTTAACAACGACGACGTTATCAACAACAAACGATCACCCTGACGATGATGTTAACAGCGACGACAGCCGCTCCGTGTTGCCGCGACTCCTTACTCACTCGGGCGAGTTCACCCAGATGACTCCCAGGTGGCAGTAGTAGACGCATTCCCGGTCCAGGTAGGATTCGCAGGTGCAGCGCTTGTGCCGCGTGTGCGTCCCCGCGCGCTCCTCTCCCCGGACAGCGACCCGCGGAGTTTGCTCGCCGCTCCGACTTTGCGCCCTGGCACCTGCTGACAAGTGGCAACCCGTGTGAGACTAGGCTCTGAGGAAAGCTGTCTCGGGTGTGGACCAATCAACTTCAAGGACAGTGCATATTATCAGAGTTATGTTCTTTTGTTTGTATTATGACTGCAGGTATTACGGTCTATGCAAACATGACTCCTTGTAAAAAGGTGTCAGTTTTGTTGCCAGATAGAAGGGTAAAAAAACAATTATCATATTTTTACTAGCAAATGAGGTTCCCATAAAGTGGCAAGCGGTTGCGCAGCTCGAGGCCGAACTCATCGGAGACGACGCCGAATGTCCTCGTGGCGGGCGAGAACTTTGCACGCAAGGTAATGACACTGCTCAGTCACTTAAGGGCGCCACGATGACGAGTTGTTAACTACCTCGCCGGGTATACAGGGGGTCGTGGGTTCGATTCCGACCCTGACGCCTGCATGTTTGGAGTTTGCATGTCTCTCTCTCCCCGTGGTCGCATGGATTTTTCTCCGGGTTCTCCGGGTGTTTTCCCTCCGCATTTCGAATCAACATCGTGCGTTTAGAGTATTTGGCTGCTATAAATTCCCACGTGATAAGCCACTTCGTTGAGCTATCATGTGTGGGCAGGTAGCTTCTGAAAAAAGGTCTATTTAGCTCAGTAGGCCTTCCCTGGTAACATAAAAATAGTTTATAGTTCATAGTCTGTACGTATGTTGAACTTATTTTGCACCGTACGTAGCCAAAATTGAAAAGCAGAGGCCGCTGGTGGTGGCTCTCGGACGCGGAATGGAAAATAAAACCAACGCATCGGCGGCGGTGTGACACACGGTGCAGGAAGCTGTCAAGGGCATTTCCATTGACTTATTTTAGCCGCGAAGTGAAAATGTGGGGACGCTGTCGTTGTGTAACGGATAGCGCATTCTGGACTTGCGATCCACGTCGCCGTTTCAAGTTCCCGGCGAGACAGCTGAAACAACAGACCAGATTCTTAATTTCCACCCCTCTGCCTGTGGTCTGCCTGGCATTTTAAATCGCTATACCAAAGTGAGTTGAATTTATATTTAAAGCTTTCGTGACTGCAGGGATTCATCTTCTTGGTTCTTTCGGTAAAGTCACGTAGAAGGGAAATAATAAAATAATAGTTAAACATAATAAAATAAAATTCTCACGACGTTTCGGCCACAACACAAGCAGCCGTCCTCAGGTGAAGAACAGAGCTGTCTGAAAAATACGACGCTGTTTTTCAGACAGCTTTTATTATGTTTGATTTTTTTATTATTTCATTATTTCCTTTCTACATGACTTTACCGAAAGAACCAAGAAGACAAAGTGAGTTGCTCAGCGGGTCACCTTGTGTGTTGGGTAAAAGTGTGGGTGCCCTCGCCTCTTCCAGGGTGTAAACACATGAGGCCAAATACCCTCTTAGAGGGGTCTCTCTAGAGCTCCTTGTGGTGGAGGCCCTTCCTCATCCTGTATTGTCGCCAAGCGATAAGTTCGTGTCCACTTGTAGAACCCATTGAGATCCCCCAAATCGCGAAGAATTCAGGAGAACGCTACTACTGTTCAGTGAAGCAACTTGATTGTAATATTTCAGTCACAGTCTACGTTATTTTGTTTCAAAATAAGTTACGCACAACTTTCACTTAGTGGCTTTGAATGGTTTTTTGGTGCTGAATGGCTTCTTGACAGCTGAAATAAAATGCCATATGGATGTTAAGGTCGAGTGGTGCTTGCACTGTGTCATGAACCCGGTTACCTGAGTTCGGTACCTGTCCATGGCTAACATCAGTAGTGAGTGACATCTTAATTAATCCATGACCCTCGCCTTCCTTGACATAACAACCGCCGTTCACCACTAAGTGGCGGTGACGTCACCATGGCGCTTTGTACCATGCTATGTGCACTGTGAGGCCACCTGAAGTGTCATAGGCCCGCTTGCGGGAGGTCACGGGACAGACCCATATGCCGTGGGTCCACTGAGATGGCTGGCAGATGCACCGATTGTATTCCCCACTCTGCCAACTCTTTGCGCTTTAGCCACCCATTGCGCTGCTCGTTGTTGTGAGCTTCTTCACGAGCCCTATACTGACCAGCACAATTTAATTCTGGTCGAACGGCCCCCAGGAACATACATGGTGCGGGGAGACCGTCATGCAGCAGTGGGTTTAAAAAGGGGAGAAAATTATTAGTTTAAAATACGTATTTCCTTTAACTTTCAAACCGATTCTCCAGATCGTAAATGACATCAAAATGTACACGTACAAGTATCGTCTACACATGTATGTAAATCAATTTAAAACCAAGGCGTTATTTTACAATTCACAGTTTCACGACAGCTTGTAAAATGTCACCAGAGTTGTTGGTATTCGATCTGTTGCTGCTGCTGCTTGCGGTTGCAAACTTTCTCACAGAAATCCTATCGAGTTGCAAATCGCCGTTGTAATCATCATAATTGCAAACACAAGTTATATTTTCCGCATTCCAAGTAAAACTGCCATCCAATTAGTCAAGAGTGACTCTTACGTACACATTTGTGTTCAAACCCTTACGATAAAATTGCATGACATTCTCAATACTAATTTTGGGTAAATAAAATCTTTCTAAGTGTTTAATTTCACATTAACAAGATTTGCAATTCTGTAATCATTAAATGCTTTGACCGCTCACACTCTGAAAACTTCAAAATGTTATACAATGTGAGAGGGTGTATTTTAAAAGTGGAAATGTCAATTCAAATTATACAATATATGTTTTATGGGATATCCGATAAGGGACATTATCAAAGCGCATTTGCAAAATAAGTAACATCTGCAGTCAAATTGGTATGAAGAGTTCTCTTTTTTGGTTAAGGGCCAGAAGTGGGAGTTCACAAAATGAATGATTACTGTGTAGACGAACAATATTTTAAATATGCAATACGTGATGGTAACCCTAATGAGAAGTGCTTTCCCCACAATTACCTCTAACAAGCCATGAAACATGTCCACCACGACCACGTGATGTTTGGTGACTCGGGATATGATCGATGAGGTACGCGGCTTCATAAATTGTGTTCTAATTCCGCCCGTGGCCATAAACATGTTGTCCCGTAGAAGCTTATCTTGCTGTGGGAGTGTGCGATTGTTTGAAGCGGCAATCCTCTGCGGGTTCTCTTTAACCATACCCCCCTCCCTCTCCCCATCACCCGCCAACCATGAAACAAAAATAAACTTCAATGCTCTTGAGGCAGCGGGTAACGGCTGAGAGGTTACGGTCTGGCCTCATGGCCCAGCTATCCCTCAACGATTCCCACAAAAAAACATTGACGCCCGCTCCACATGTTCGCAAGGTTGCACAGCGTGATGGAGAGAGCCATCTCTCAAAATGAGACGCTTAGACCCATGTTGGCGCTTGTCTGCTTAAAACCAAAGATGTAATAAAGTAGGTAATAACCATTATTTGAAAGTTACAAAAATATTTTGAGAAGTGTTTTGATTTATCCGTTTGATGCCTTTCGTGTGAGGTTACCCACACAAACGTGCAGGCCTGTCAGGTCCATATATCACAATGGCTGAATGGAAATCGCATACTTGGGTGAAGCATAAACAACATAAATTTGCAACTTATGTCAAGTCTTCTTGCAGTTCTGCAAATATGAATTTTCTTAAAAAATATATAAACATGTACAATCAAAATATAGCACTCATGACCATGACATAATTTTGTACATGGCATGTTCACACGATTTTTTTTATTTTAGTAAAAAAAAACGAGACCTCTGCAATAATGCAAAGCATAATTGTAGAAAATAACTTCTAAGGCAAATTAGGCATTGCCTTAGTTGCCTACGAAACCCAAGAGCTGGGTTTCGTGTGTTGCGTTTATAAGAATTACATTTTTTAAAACTATAAGGACAATAAAAACGGGCGCTTTTTAAACAAAAAAAACAGGTAAAAAATCTCTGCAATTTTCTCACGCGAACAAAGGAAACAACAACGCAAGAACTCGTCAGCAATGCACGACCTACCGATGAACATCAGGAGCGGAGAGAGTGCAACCAGCAGAACCAGGACCACTGGCACATCCATCCTTCTGGCTTCCCCCGTCATCTTCCACGGCGCCAAGAGAGAGAAGAGAGAGAAGAGAGAGAGGAGAGAGAGAGAGAGTCGGCACCTTCCCTCCTTCGATCGCTGCGCGAGGAGCGAGGTCGCGACTGGGCCAAAAGTCGACACCCCTCGAGGAAGTTCTTCTCCTCCTCCCTTGCAACTCGAGCGTGGGAGTGGCCGTGCAATTCGGCCCCAGGCTGACGAGGCCACCAACGCAATCACCTGGATGGACGAAGCCAGGTGTTGGGAACTTTTTAAAAAATTCTACCTCTCTCTCTCTCTCTCGTGTCCGTCGACGTCCAAATTGACACGCATGCGTGCCGATATGCCGTAGCTTGCAAGTGGCACCGAGCAGTTTAATACTGGCCCCCCCTCTCTCCCCAAATACCCGTCCCCTCCCAACTCTCTGGTCCAGCCCCAACGGAGGAGGCATTTCTTCTTGTTTTTATTTAGTTTTTATTTTCGTGCATCCTCTGCACCCGGGGTGGGGGGGGGAGTTACCACCGCACCGTGCGCATGCCAGCATTCAGACCTGTTTGCGTGCACCGATCTTCAGAGCAATGCCGTAATTATAATAGATATTGGGGTATTGGGGGGGGGGGGACACATCCCCACACCCCCCCCCCCCAATATTCAAATATTCTCACAATATCCCCCCCCCAATATATTGATATAAAAAATATTTTTAAAAAAAATTGCTATGCTACAACAGGCAATCACACACCGCCGTCCAAAATAATAATTAGCAACTGTAATCATGATCATAACTAAACTTAACAAATTGCCATTATTACTACTACCGGTTATAGTATTACGGTGTACTGCAGTTCTGCGTGCGGTTTGTCCAAGTCGTGTTGCCGTACCCCATCAGAAGCCGCCGCTCGACTACTGTGGGAAGGTACAATCAATGTCAAACACTGCGTTGTCTCTCCATTTCATTACTTTCAAATGTATAAAAACGTGGGAAACTAGAATGTAAGATGAGTGTCACGTAGGCTATCTCACTGTCGAGTGTAAACAAAGTTTTTGGTGAAAACGGGCCGATCTGCGATTGCTAATCAATCAACCATCACTAATGTTGGCTATCATAGCTAAGTAAGTTACTTGGAAAGCTAATTAGCCACATTCACCCAGCGACCAACAATGGAGCTCACGGGCGTATTCAACTAACGTTAATGTCTATTACGTTATATTTGTCAGTAAGCTTGTACATATGATTGTGGTTATGGTTGTACTTTATGAATCCCTAATCTCTGCCATTACATACAATGGAACAAGAAAAGATAAAAAAAGAGAAAACAGAGCACTGTAATACAATACACTATTAGACATTATTGAAAAAAAAAAGGTTCATCCCATTTGTTAGTGCATTTTTTTTATTTTAGGCAGGAAATGAGTTTTAATTTTTTTTCTGGGGGGGGGGACCCCCAGACCCCTCAAAGATTTAGTCCCCCCCAATGTTGACTCCATGGCAATGGCCTTGCTTCAAAGAGTCGTAATCACCGTCGGCCACGGTCAACCCACTGCTGGATAGAAAAGCTCCCCAAGCCGCCGCCTGCCACCTCTCACGATCCTGGGATGTATGTACGCCGTGTAATGATTTTAATTCATGAAACGCCCTTAAACAATCATTCTCAGGGCGCTATATAGATATGTTGTGCGTATTTTGAACTCATTTTGCACCGCACGTAGCCGACCAAGGTGCGGGGGAAGGACAACAATCTAAACACAAAAAAACAGTTTTAAAGAATTTTTTTCTATGTAATAATACACTTAGCCCATGGATTGAAGTCGCAGACCACGCACGCATGAATAAAACATGAAGCAGTGGCGTGGTGTGGTTGGCATGGGCCCTGCTGGTGTAAGTTTAGTGACTGGCTTGGAGACGTAAGTTCTTGGAGGCAGTACTTTAATCAACACCAGAGGTCGCAAATGGGTTTTGATTCCTTACCCGTACCCGGCCGCACCAGCGTCGCAAACGGGTACCCGCACTTGTACCCGGCCGGGTATGGGTAGCCAGGTATCGGGTAGGATACGGGTATCGGGTACCCGATTTCGACCTCTGATCAACACCGAGCACACTTTGTACAATACACACCCTACACTGTTACAAACTCCTCTGTCTCTTGCTTATACGCAACTCTACACCGGTTGCGAGCCTACACACAACGCTAGCCGTCTGACACTCACGGCGCTGAACCGAGACAGCCAACTACCATCTGGCAGCGCAAAATATCAAGTGATGACGACACCGACGGTGGCGACGATCTTCAACAGCAACAGCGACGACAACTGGGATCCCACTCCAAACGACAGCCCTGAGGTCCCCCTCCTGGGGCCCCTTTTATACTGTCAGCGTGGCCTGGCCCCACCCCTGGCCCCACCCCCTTCTGGAACCTCCGAGCGGGTTCTGGGCGTGTCCCTTCCGTAACCTTTCTCCAACATCCCTCTCTGGTCTATCACGTGACCTGCTGTCAGTCAGGGCAGCTGTACGCTGCAGATCCCTTTCCCTGCCAGCAGCGCCATGCTACTAAGTGACCGAATCTATGTCACGACATAAGGAAGGAAATGTGGCCCCTTGTACAATTTCTCCCCCCTCTGAATAAGCTGCCATCTGGGCCTCCCTGGACTGCGGCTCCATGGCTGCAATTACATTGCCACAGCACTGAAAACTATGCCATTGCCACGGAGACATAAAAATACTAATATTTAAATAAAAAATGCGCAAAGCAGATCATTTGATGTATCCATAATTGAGGTTTTTGGGTTAGATCGTGTACCCGACACAGCCAATTAGTAAGGTTTGTCACGTAACAAACTTTACGAATTGGTTGTGGATTTAATGACACGTTTATATTAACGCGATCTAGTCCATAAAAAAACCTCTATTATGGATAATATTAGTCACGAAAGCATAATTGTTAAATGATGATGTAGAACGCGCATCGCACAATGAACTTGAACTCTGCTCAACATGTCAACCCCCGATGTGCCAAAACAGTTCACACTCAGCTCAATTCGTGTCTCGTGAAGCGATTTTCAAAAATAATGAATAACATGAAGAGGTTTAGGCTATAGAGTGTGAAAGGTGGACGGTGTTAGCAGATACCCAGTTAAAGCCAGTTGGTTGAACAAAGGGGAAGGGATCTAACGCTGAATCAAATCGACTGCTGCGAAAGTGCTCTTTGGTTTTTTCTTTAAAGTTACGTAGGCAAATTTTTTTAATAAATTAAATCACGACGCTTAAACATCTAAGCGGTTGTGCTTAGACATCTAGGTGGTTGTGCTTTCGCTACGTTGTCCCCACCTGAAGGACACTTGTGTTGCGCTCGAAACGTCGTGATAAAAAAAAATACCTACGTGACTTTACCGAAAAAAACGAATAGTATGAATTCCTTGCAGTCACGAAAACTTCAAATCTAGAATTGCTGCAAAAGTATCAGGCGGTTGGCGCTGCAACTTAGTAGCCCTGCAGGTGTGTTGGCACCCTAACATCTTGGATCGTCCCAACAACTTGTGCCAAGTCAGCAAGCACCAAGAGCCCTGGTCCTAAGACTAAAGCCCTCTGCCTCCTTTTTTTATTACACGCTTTCATTTAACTCACTCTGTCTGTTGTTGTATCCTTAAATCTTGTAACTCAATTTTAACCCACTTCCCAATGTGGTATCGACTGAAAACTTGCTATACTTATGTCATACTGATGACAATACTATATTCTATCATAAAAATAAATATTTTTAAACATTCTTTTTTATATGTCATGTTTCGGCTTGGTTCTAATTGTCCACGGTCAACTGACGTTGCCTGTAATTGGCCACGGTTCCTTACGTTATGGCAAGCTTCGGGGCCACTTCCTGGAGCCGTGGAGTTCTTCCATTACAAGTACATTTCATAAAAGCGTGTTTAAAAAAAAGTTTGTTTTTAAATATTACTTATTGTTATACCTGTTCTCCTCCAACGTGGTAGTTCCTGGAAAAATATCGTTAGAATAAATACTATATATAGAATAGGGTAAAGCACAGTCCGCGATAATGTGATATGTGTATGCAGGCTGAACAAAGAGTTAGGTGCGTGTGGTAGCGTCTAGAAGTATCCAGCAGCATCCCGCCTTGTGCGATGATGCTACGCCGAGGCAGCCGTACGACTGCTTATTCCTACTCACGCGACGTAGTTCCGTTCAATCAATCACGTTATATCCGATTCGCATCCACGTTATAGAAAAACATGTGCTCCCTAATACATTCATTGCGTTATGAAAACAACACCGGGTGTTATTCGGGAACTGGCTGTTTTAGACAAAGGCTTGGAAAGGATGTCTCTCCCTTGTCAGTACAGAGCACACGAACATTGCAGCAGTTGTGCAAGTGACTAAGCAGCCTTTGGCCTTATCGCTCATGGGATGTGTAAAATATACTTCCGTAGGTATAAGTAGTTGCACAGATACTGTATATTAAGCAATATTGTTTGTCTTCTTGGTTCTTTCGGTAAAGTCACGTAAAATGGAAATAATAATCCCTGCAGTCACGAAAGCTTTAAATCGAAATTCAATATTGTTTGCTTCTTTTTTTCGTTATAGTTTCTGCCACGATGCTTTGATTAATTTGTGTGATGTATAATATAGTTTTGCGTTGAACTTGTAACCAAGTCTGACAGACAAGGTCCTTGCCAAAAACATCTGTAATCATCTATACACATAGATTATGTTTATAAACATCGATACACATCTGCCAGTTGATCAGCGTCGGTGACAGCAAGCCCGACTCTGCTGATGAGACACTGTGTGTTGAAACCGGTCCAGAGTTTGCTTATATTGAACCAATACTACTGAAATTATGCACCCCCGGATTGCAATGTGTATGTATGTATGTGTAATAAAGCTCGTTGAGGCGACTTCTGGAATTCGTCTTTTATTCAACTTATATTACAGTTACTCCACGCTACTGCTAGGCAGCGTGAAGGGACAGATATATAGAGAGAGACGCACTTTCCACGTGGCAACTCGGACACCCGCTCCCGCGTGGCCTCCACCCTCTGTTCGTTCCCGTTCTGACCACGTGTCGTTCGTCTCCACCCCTATTTAATACCTGGGTCACGTGGTACGTTTCCGCCAATCCTCGTTAGCCTGCATGGAATGTTCCAGGCTCCCTCGTCATCTGCCGGGACCACGCCCCTGACTCATCTCCCCATTGGCTGTGGCCAAGGCCAGCAGAACCAATGTAACCTTATGTGGGTATGTGGGTATACTTGGGCTGTTTTTTTATATATAGTATAAATTGATTATCTTTCATTTAATTTTATTTTTATTTTCTTGTTTTATTTAATTTAAATTTATGAATGAGGCCCTGACTGGTGAGCATTTTAAATTTCGTTGTACTGGTGACAATGACAATAAACGATCTATCTATCTATCTTTCCATCACGTCAGGGCCACGCCCTCAGGCTTCCCCCCATTGGCTGTAAACCAGGACCGGCAGAGCCAATCGCCATGACGAGTTGTGATACGTCAGTGAGCCGGATATATCCTCATATTACATATGTATCTCAAATTTCTTTCGCAACCCTACATAGCCAACTGTGCTAATCGTCGGTGGTGTGGCCAATGGGATGTGCAAACACAAAATAAACTCAATTTCTTTTTCACGTGGAGGTGATGGATGTGGGGGGAAGGAGTACATTGTCTGCTTTATAAACGTGTTGTTGTTATTCAGGGAGGGACTGCTCTCGGCCGACCCGGGAACTGCGCTCGTGAAAGGTGGGCGAGAGGGTTCCTCGCTCTGCCCGACTATTTCCGCGCAATGTAGCGCACACACAAAATGTCTCCTGCACGGTATCCGTGCTGGAGTCTGCGGCTCCTCTGAACTTGTGATCCATGGTATATATATATACGTGAATATAGGGCATGAAGGCTGGGGCATTAATGCAGAGGAACACATAATTTTAATATTACAAGCACACTCGAGCAGTCATAGACCATGCCTTACCCTGCAGCGTTCACAAAACAGAAAAAAGATATTTTTTTCGGTAAGTCAAATGCATTTTGAAGGTTCTGTGATAGCACGATTGACACGGTCGGCCACGTACGGTGCGAAGGAAGTTCAACGTGCATACGAAGTTCAACATGTATGTTGACTGTGATATGCTGATGATGCCGATGCTGATTGGTGGGGCACTCAACATTACAGATGGGGATGGGTTTTTTTCCACAGTCATATCAAGTCACTTTATTTTGCAAAATAATTATTTCATGCAAATGTACGTATCATTATGTAATGTTAAATGCATTTTTCTGGAAATATGCGTGAATAATTATTGATCAGAATAATCATCAGCCCATGGATCAATTAACTGCCGTGATGAAGGCATTCCCAAAGCGTCGCAATCTCTCACGGCTCTGCAATGGAACAATCCACCCAGCACTGGCACATGAGCTGCTGCAATCACTCCATCTCCTCTGTTGATGTTTTCTCAGATGCATTCTAAACCCTCGCTGTATATTTGACATGACGTTTATTTTGTATTTTTTAAGTACCTTCCAGAAGCACATTATGGATTTTAGATTCTATTTGATTTACGCGCATGTGAGAAATACAGCAGGCACAGATTAAAGTGAATGACGTGATAAGGTGAAGCTTTACAGACTTCTTAGACAAAGACCACATGATGGGGCACACACCTGACTTTACAAACCCATTGGAATTGTACATGTATACTACATATGCATGGACACTGCTTGCAGTGCATTGGCCAGAGGTAAACACGAAGGCTGAACACAGAACCCATAGTATAAGATGTGTGGCTCCAGCTGCAGTGCATTTCACTCTAGAAAAGAAAATAAATGACCCAGACGTTGCAGGTCAAAGCCTACAAATAAATGACCCTCTGATGTTCTGTAACCAAATTCTCACAAATATTTATTCTGCTTGCGGAGTTGCTTCAAATGGAGATGAGAAGGTGAAGATCATCGAGGACAGCTTGGGTGGCACGACCAGCAGTGCCGTTGCTCGGTAGCGACTCACCAGGCTATGTGCACAACGCAAAGCAACAAACTCGAGGTTGCATGCTCTTAGTTTTTCGGTAAAGTCACGTAGGTAAAAAATGAAATTAAAATTAATACAAATCTAATTATTATTATACAAATTATTAATTATTAATTTTAATTTAATTTTTTACCTACGTGACTTTACCGAAAAAACTAAGAGTA